TGAAGGTGCAATTCAAATATCTAAACGAAATTTACAAATAAGTTTAAAAGGTCATTCGATATATTAAATCAAATAAAAAAATAGGTCAAAGTTCTTGGAGACTAAAAAGTATTTTTTTTTTAAAATAATAGTATATATATATCTTCTTTTTTGAGTTGTTTGGCTAATAAGAACATGTTCTTTTAAGCCGAAAGAGCTTTTTTGTTATTGAGAATAAGTTATAATTTTAAAAAGTAGAAGTTGTTACAAATTCATTTAAATGTCTGGATGTTTCTTTCAATCTACACCTAACGTAATGTCCCATTTAATGTATCACTTAAAGATCTTTTAAAGTATTTTGTTTAACATTGTAAACGGATGAATTTTACATCCTATAAAAGGGTATTCTTTACCCTTAAGAAGGACACAATTGAAGAGATTAAAATAAGACTCTACTTTATACCTTTCATCACTATTTTGTCTCCCTATAATGCTTAAGGATTTTTATATTTTTCTCTTATTTTACAACATGTTATTAGCACGAGACTCTAACCAATTGAGACCTACTTAATTCGGTATTATCTTTTTTTCCTAAAAGTTAATCAATTTTCATTTAGAGTCAGGTATACATTTATATGTTGGACTTGCATAAATCTTTGATCTATAATTTAAATATTGCGTATATAACTTGATTTAGCTATTATTATGATACTTTACTAGGCATAATAATCAATACGTTTCAGGTTTATATTGTTATGTTATTTATATGCTACTAACTTATAACTCTAAATTAATTACTAAGTAATATGACAGCATGTAGTTAAAATAACTCATAAATATTTTCATACATTATGATAAGTTTATTGGTGTGTCATAAAGAAGAAGAATAGTATTATATTAAATATGACTTGAAAATCTTACTGGACTTTGGCATTAATAACTATTGAACTAATAATAAATATTGTAAAATAATTAGAATATATATTAAATTTACCGTTTCATACTTTATGAGTTTACATGATTTTGTAACATTTCATGTCCATGCATATGATATATTTTATACTAATTGTTAATCATTTGAAACATTAATTTATATTTTATCATAAAGAAATCAAAATCATGTTATTAACTCAACAATTTCGTGATAGTTTTCATCATGTGTGGCACTTGACAATTCTAGAAAAAACTATTTGTCATGGGTACTTGATGATGAAATTCACATTACCGCTAAGGGTCTTGGTGATAGTATAATCGAAAGAAATAAAACATCAAGTCAAGATAAAGCGAAAGCTGTGATTTTCCTTCGTCATCATCTTGATGAAAGTCTGAAGGTTGAATACTTAAGAGTGAAAGATCCACTTGAATTGTGGATAGGCTTGAAAGGGAGGTATGACCACCTCAAGGCAACGGTATTGCCAAGGGCTCGTTATGAGTGGATGAACTTACGATTTCAAGATTATAAAATCATAATTGAGTATAACTCTGTTGTATTTAGAATCACTTCCCAATTAAAATTATGTGGGGAAGTTATAAAAGATGAGGACATGTTGGAAAAGACACAAACTACTTTTCATGCCTTCAATATGATATTACAGCAGCAATATCGTGAAAAGGGTTTTAAAAAATACTTTGAATTAATCTCATGTCTTCTAATGGCTGAGCAGCATAATGACCTTTTAATGAAAAATCATGAAGCTCGTCCCACTGAAAGTGCTCCAATACCGGAGGCACACAGGATAAAAGCACACGGCCAGTCTGAAATAAGACAAAATAATAGGAGACATGATAATATGTGCGGGCATGGCAAAGGCAAAAGACGATATAATAATCGTAGAGGTAGTGGTCATAACAAAAGAGAAAACAATATGAGTTCTCAAAATAATCCTTCTAAAGGAAAGAGCGATCACTGTTATCGTTGTGGCCTTAAAGATCATTGAAAAAATGAATATCGGGCACTTGAGCATTTTGTCAGGTTGTATCAAAATTCCTTTAAAAAGAAAGGAAATAAAGGAGTGTCTCCTCTTCTAATGCTCGAGTAGAGTCACATTTGACTCTCAAAGATGATGCTCAGGCAGGGTCTTCTCACAAATATGATGAGAATGTTGAGGTGAATTTAGCATTGAAAGATGATGCTTTTGATGGGCTCGATAATGTTACTCATCTAGAAGCAGAGGACTTCTTTGAGGATCGCAACTAAAGATTGATAATTAAATTGGGAAATGAACAATGTTGTTATGTGTTTTTAATGTCTTACTTAAAGTTCATGTATTTAAATTTTCCTTTGTTAAGTTTCGTACTTCTTATTATGTATTTTAATTCTTATGAAGATAAATAAAATTTTCAGAGTCTTCAGTTGGATCCAAGATGAGTAATGGAGATATGTGCCTCCTGGACAGTGTCACAACTCATACAGTCCTAAAAGAAGAGAAATATTTCTCTCATTTGATTGTAAAAAAGGCATATGTTAATACAATATTCGGTAGTAAAAAATTGATTGAGGGCTCTAGAAGAGCGACCTTATTACTACCTCGAGGAACATTATTGATAATTAATAATGCATTGTATTGTAGTAAATCTCAAAGAAACTTTTTAAGTTTCAAGGTTATTTGCCAAAATGGCTATCATGTTGAGACTGCAAATGAAGGAACGGTGGAATACCTTTATATTACTACGATAAATGTGGAGAAGAAAACGGTGCATGAAAAATTGTTTGCACTTTCTTCTAGGTTGTACCATACAAATATTGGTACGGTTGAATCACATGATATAGTAAACAAAAGGTTTATTGGTTCTAATGATTATCATTTGGCATGACCGGTTGGGCCATCTCGGTTATAATATGATGTGCAGAATAATTGAGAATTCACATGGGCATACTTTGAAGAACCAAAATGTTCTTCAATCAAAGGAATTCTCTTGTTTTGCTTGTTCACAAGGAAAGTTGGCTATCAAACCATCAATGGCTAAGGTTGGGGTGGAATCCCCTATATTTCTGAAACAGATACAAGGTGATATATGTGGACCTATTCACCCTGCATGTGGACCATTTAAATATTATATGGTCTTGATAGATGCATGTACAAGATGGTCATATGTGTGCTTATTGTCAACTCGCAATATGGCTTTTGCGAGGTTGTTGGCTCAAATAATAAGGCTAAAAATATAATTTTCAGATTATGCAATAAAAACAATTCGTCTTGATAATGCTGATGAGTTTACAGCTCAGGCATTTAATGATTATTGTTTGTCCACTGAAATAACAGTTGAATATCCTGTTGCACATGTTCATACTCAAAATGGTTTAGCAGAGTCATTGATTAAACGTCTTCAATTGATAGCTAGACCACTGTTGATGAGGACAAAGTTGCATGTTACAGTTTGGGGGCATGCTATTTTGCATGCAGTGGCACTTGTGCGCATAAGACCAACCAGTATTATGACATCTCCCCATTGCAATTATTTTTTGGTCAGGAGCCAAACATTTTCCATCTTAGAATCTTTGGTTGTGCGGTATATGCTCCAATTGCTCTACCACAATGTACAAAGATGGGTCCCCAAAAAAATTTGGGAATATATGTTAGGTATGAATCTCGTTCTATTATAAAATATTTAGAACCTAGAACTAGAGATTTTTTTATTGCAAGATTTGCTGATTGTCATTTTGATGAAGAACAAAAGCAATTGGGAAATGAGATAGATTGGAATTCACTTTCACTGTCTCATTTAGATCCTCGAACAAACAATGTGAGCAAGAAATTCAAAAGATAATTTATTTGCAGAATATTGCAAATCAATTGCCGGATGCATTTACTAACCTTCCACGGGTTACTAAATCATACATCCCAGCTGCTAATGCTCAAGCTTGAGTTGATGTCCCGATAGGACAAAATGTTAAGGCAAAAGAGTCTGGACCACGCTTAAAACGTGGTAGACCAATTGGTTCCAAGAATAAAAATCCTCGAAAAAGGAAAGGAATAAATTATCAAGATGATCATATTATAGAGGCAATTTCTCATGAAGAGCTCCGATACATAAGAAATGATGACACCACAGAGGAGGTTCATGTACCTGAAAATAATGAGAATAAGGAAATCTCTATAAATTATGTCTCGACAAGAAAAAGGTGGAATCAAAATAATATTGTAGTAGATAATATTTTTGCCTATAATGTTGCAGTTGAAATAATGCAACAAGATGAGAATTTAGAACCAAGATCTGTCAATGAATGTAGACAGAGAAATGATTGGTCAAAATGGAAGGAAGCAATTCAAACAAAATTGGCTTCACTTGAAAAATGTGAAGTTTTTGGACCAATAGTCCAAACAACTTAATGTGTCAAGCCAATTGGGTACAAGTGGGTTTTTGTGTGAAAACTCAATGAAATGGTGAAGTAGTAAGATATAAAGCACGACTTGTGGCACAAGAATTTTCGCAAAGACATGGCATTGATTATGAGGAGACATATTCTCCTATGGTAGATGCAATTACCTTCAGGTATCTAAGAAATATGACAGTTCATGAAAAGCTTGAAATGCATCTAATGGACGTTGTCACAACCTATTTATATGGCTCACTACTAGACCACAATATTTTTATAAAAATCCCTGAAGCACTCAAAGTGCCTGAAGCATATAAAAATTCAAAAGAAAATTGTTCAATAAAGCTTCAAAAATCCTTATATGGGTTGAAACAATCAGGGTGAATGTGGTATAATCGTTTTAGCGAATACTTGCTAAAGGAAGGGTATAAGAATGACCCTATTTGTCCTTGTATTTTTATATGTAGGTCAAAATCTGAATTTGTAATAATATTTGTTTATGTTGATGAGTTGAACATCATTGGAACTCTTGAAGAGCTTTCAAAAGTTGTTGAGTGTTTGAAGAAAGAATTTGAAATGAAAGATCTTGGTTGGCCTTCAGATTGAACATTTGACAAATGAAAAATTTATCCATCAATCAACATATACTGAAAAGGTTTAGAAGCGATTTTACATGGATAAATCACACCCATTGATTACCCCGATGGTTGTGAGATCTCTTGACATAAATAAAGATTCATTCCGACCTCAAGAAAAGGATGAAGAGCTTCTTGGTGATGAAACTTCATATCTCAGTGCTACTGGGGCACTAATGTACCTTGCTAATAATACCCGATCAGATATTTATTTCACAGTAAGTTTATTGGCGAGATTCAGCTCATGTCCAACAAGAAGACATTGGAAAGGTGTTAAGCATATATTCAGATATCTTCAAGGAATAATTGATATGAGATTGTTGTATTCTAATGCATCCAAGTCAAAATTGATCGATTATGCAGGTGCTGGCTATTTGCCTGACCCACATAAATCCCAATCTCAGACAGGCTATTTATTCACATATGGAGGTACAACTATATCATGGCGTTCGATGAAGAAAATAATAGTTGCTACTTTTTCAAATCATGCAGAGATAATAGCCATTCATGAAGCCAGTCGAGAGTGTGTATGGTTGAGATCAATGACTCAACACATTTTGCAATTATGCGGTCTTTCTGTGCAAACAAAGACTCCAACAATATTGTATGAAGATATTGTTGCTTGCATAGCACAATTAAAGGGAGGATATATCAAAGGAGATCGAACAAAGCATATTTCACCTAAAAAATAATCACACATGATATTTAACAAAATGGTGAGATAAATGTTCAACATATTCGTTCGAGTGATAATCTTGTAGATTTATTCACTAAGGCATTGCCAACATCAACATTTGAGAAGTTAAGATATAAGATTGGAATGCATCGTCTTCGAGATATCAAATAAAGTTTTCATCAAGGGGAGTAAAATACGCGTTGTACTCCTTTTACCTTAACCAAGGTTTTGTCCCATTGAATTTTCCTGGTAAAGTTTTTTAATGAGGCAACACTCGAGGCGTATTACAAGATATGTGTAGTCTTTTTCCTTCACTAGGATTTTTCCCACTGGATTTTTCCTAATAAGGTTCTAACGAGGCACATTATCTATAAACATCTAAGGGGGAGTGTTACAAATCCATTTAATTGTGTGGATGTTTCTTTTCAATCTACACCTAACGTAATGCCCCATTTAATGTACCACTTAAAGATCTTCTAACGTATTTTGCTTAACATTGTAAACGGATGAATTTTTCATCCTATAAAAGGGTATTCTTTACCCTTAAGAAGGTCACAATTGAAGAGATTAAAATAAGACTCTACTTTATACCTTCCATCACTATTTTGTCTCCCTTTATTATTTAAGTATTCTTGTATTTTTCTCTTATTTTACTACAGAAACACTTTTTTCAAAAAAGAAAAGAAAAGAAAAGAAAAGAAGAAACACTCAAGAAAAAATATTTTTATCATAAATTTATATTTATTAAACTATCTCTCACTAATTAAGCATAATCACTCTCAATTAAATACAAACTATTTTCTCTTTTTTTCTTTTTAGTTTCCACTATTTCCTTTCGTTTCCTTTTTTTTAATCTTCTTTCTCATTTTCTTTTATCCTACTGCTCTTTGAAATAGTCCTATAATTAGGAGTGTTTAAAGAAAATTGATTAATCATGTCAATTTGCTAAATCAAATTAAATCGATATTAAAATCATAAGTGTTGATTTGATATTGAAAAAATAATCTAAATTCTACAAGATTCTCATTTTAATAGATAATCTATTATTTTTGGAAACCCTTTTAGAATTTGAATTCAAGTCATTAGCTTGCATAACAATATGAAAGATTAAGGATAAATAAAGTCATTTTTATACTCTACGTCAATAAATATTCATCAAGAAGATTTCTAGTATAACAATATTAATAAATTTAATTCAATGAGGATTATATACAATTTTTTTTAAAACTTGTATATGTTTTAAGCATTTTGAATCCTTCAGAATTTTCATATCAACTAATAAATAGGTTTGTGCTTCGTACGATAATAAGATCTTATTGAATTTACATAATATTTTTTTATAATAATAAATTGGAAAATTATGGGGAACCTTCTTTTAAATTGAGAATGAGTTAGTGAGAAAAAAGATACTAATAATAATATTTATCAGTAATTGTAATTAGAGGTAAATTTTGCACTTAATTAAAGAATGTGAGTCTTTGTCTTACCTATTCTTATTTATTTGTTGTTTCACAAATAATATGTTACCATCCGTGCCTCGCGCGGTTAAAAAAATATATTTACATATTGATTTTTCTACTTTCAGATTTAATTGAGATAAAATATATAATTTTCATAATATCAAAATAAACTAAGTTAATAATATAAGACATACATGAAAAAAATAATGAGAAATAAATATATATAAAAAAAAACTAAAAACAAAATATATCCAAGCAGTTGCATAACTTATGCACATTATAACTTTCAAAGAACAATCTATTAATAAAATCAACATTCATTTCATATAGAAAAGAAACAACTTATCGATAAAGTCAATGTTCATATTATAGAGAAAATAGACAATTTGTCAATGAAGTCGACATTCATTATATAAAAAAATATATGTCTCGTAAGTCCTTTCACCTGTCGTTCTTATTTAAATATTATTCCCTTTCTTTTTGTTTAAATATTATTCATAGAATTCTGTCCATACTTTTTATCTTAATAATTAAAATACGACTTAAAAAGTTAGTATCATAAACTTTATATAAAAGAATAGTCGTTATTAATCAAACATTTTTTTATTATTCAACCAAATCTCTTTAACTCTTGGCATCATACATAAAAAATGATAAAAATAATTTGTTCAGAAAGAAAAGCAATCACCCTCGAGTAAGAAAAACTATATAAATGTAAAAAATAAAATAAAAACAGAAGGAGATAATGTTGACAGCGGCAAAGATGAGATGTCAGTCGTTTGTTATTTTAGTTAATTTTATTGTCAAACATCTCTTCTGTTCTTCAAAATACTTTCTAAGAAAATTTTAAAATAGGATAATCTTTTGAAATTCAATTAAAGGTTTCAATTTTTATTTTTCATCTTGTTTTTTTCCCTTTGTTTATCTCCAATCATATATATATAATTTTAGTATAGCTAGAGTAATAAAATATGACCACTTTCTATTTCAACTCTAGATGAAGCGAAGACAATTTAAAAAATCATAAGTTAATTTCAATAAATCAAGAAATAATATGCAAATTTCAACCACAAATTTTTAAAAACAAAAAAGAATATGGAGTAATATATATATATATATATATATATATATATACATATTATATTACCCTTATTTAGAAATGACAGTTAAGGTGTACGAACAAGGTAACTGTGGAATTACAACAGTTTATCAAGGGTATTTTAGTACTTTTTAGTCCAATTAAAACCTTTCATGTTCCTTTCTTGGATGCCACATATTTAGCCATCTGTCTTTCACACACACATTTCTCTCCTCCTTTTATTTGTTCTACTAGATAATGTTGCCTGTGCATATATAAATGGTATGTTTTGGAGCTAATAACGAAGTTTTTAAAGCGATTGTTTGCGTGGATAAAGGAATAAGTTTTTTTATCACAAACTTGTACTTTCTTTGACGCTTTTCAAGGTACAATAAGACTACCCACATACAACATTTTTGAAATATTTTATGTTGTCAATTATCATGATTTATAGTATTTTTACGATAGATTCACTTAAAGAATGAGTGGAATTTTTTGTATTTTTTTCAAAACATATTTTATGTTGTCAATTATCATGATTTATAGTATTTTTACGCATTTTTTAAATATAAAAAACCCAAAATAAAATAAGACAAATAAATTAAAATGGACCCAATATATGTTATTTTTGTTGTCTCTATTTATGTGACACAAATAAAATTTGGATAGTCATCCAAATTTTATTTTATTTTTTAAAAAATGTTTTAAGTTATTAATTATTGTGATTTATAATATTTTTATGTAACTTTCAAATAACCAACATTACTGGTCACTTTGTCATAATTTATGTGATATGGATAAAATTACAAAATTAACCCTTTTAAAATGTGTTTCAGATATTTTAAGTTGTTAATTATTATTATTTATAATATTTTTTTGGTAATTTTAAAATGATATGTGTTATTTTTTCTGTCCCAATATATGTGAGCCTGATAGAATTCTGAGAGTGAACCTATTTTATTATATAGCTTATAAATATTTTAAATTGGTAATTATTATAATTTTTAATGCTTTTTAAGTCATTTGTAAATGATATACGTTGCTTCCTTTGTCCCATTTTATATAGTATAAATAAAATTCCCGAAACCAACTCAATTTTTAATATATATTTTAAAATATTTTAAATTATTAACTATTGCGATTTATAATATTAAAAAAAAATAGAAAATGTACAAAACTTGTATCAGCCTAAAAAATGACCACGATAATTCGAAGCCTACAGAAAGCAATATGGTTGTACGTAATTTTTAAATACTTAATATATATTACTCCGCTTGTCTCAATGTATGTAGCATAGATAAAATTTCAAGAGTCAATCAAATGTTTTTAATTGTTAAGATTTATAATACATTTTACGTAGTTTTCAATAATTTCACATTAAACAATACATATGACTACTTTTGTCTCATTTTATGTGACATTGATAGATTAATTTTAAGAATCAGTCAATTTTTTTTTTCCTGGTTTTTTAATAAATATTTTAATTTGTCAATTATCACGATTTATTGTATTTTATACATAATTTTTAACGATAGATTAATTTCAAGAATCAATCAAATTTTTTTATATGTATTTATTTTTGAAATATTTTATGTTGTCAATTATCATGATTTATAGTATTTTTACGATAGATTAACTTCAAGAATCAGTGCAATTTTTTGTATCTTTTTCAAAACATATTTTATGTTGTCAATTATCATGATTTTTAGTTATTTTACGCAATTTTTAAATATAAAAAAAACTAAAAAAATAAGACAAATAAATTAAAATGGACTAAATATATGTTATTTTTGTTGTCTCAATTTATGTGACACAAATGAAATTTGGAGAGTCATTGAATATTATATATTATACTTGGGCATAAACTCCCTTACGCACGGGCGCAATAACTATTATTTTTTGTCCTAATGTATGTGACACAGATAAAATATAGTGAGTTATTTAAATTAAATATGATTTTTAAATATTTTAAGTTGTTAATAATGTAATTTATAATATTTTTACATAATTTGTAAATACTTAATATATATTACTCCGATTGTCTCAATGTATGTAACATAGATAAAATTTCAAGAGTCAATCAAATGTTGTTAATTGTTAAGATTTACAATACATTTTACGTAGTTTTCAATAATTTCACATTAAATAATACATATTACTACTTTTGTCTCATTTTATGTGACATTGATAGATTAATTTTAAGAATCAGTCGATTTCTTTTTTTGTGTTTTTTTAATAAATATTTTAAGTTGTCAATTATCACAATTTATTGTATTTTATACATAAATTTTAACGATAGATTAATTTCAAGAATCAATCGAAATTTTTTGTATGTATTTTTTTTTGAAATATTTTATGTTGTCAATTATCATGATTTATAGTATTTTTACGATAGATTAACTTCAAGAATCAGTGCAATTTTTTGTATCTTTTTCAAAAACATATTTTATGTTGTCAATTATCATGATTTATAGTATT